AAAACTAAGCCTAAGTTTGCCGGCTTTTCTAATCTTATGTGTATTATTTTACACTAACAACACAGATATAACACATCATACAGAGATTTTTGTGAAAATAAGTAGTATTTTAACGTGGTAGAGCAACGTTGCTGCTTTATTATGGTTGGAGCACGAATGGGCCGGCTCGACCGGGGAAGAACCGCAACAAAATAGCAGATTGATGCTGCTGTGTTTCGTATGGTAAGTGCGGAGTATCGTAAACCCTTTTTTACTGGAAACGAGTCATTTAATTTTAGTCCTCAGGGTTAACAACGCATCTGTATTTTGATTGTCTATGTGCCACAGCATCCACTTAGCATCAGGTGCACTGTTTGCTCGTTTTTTTTTACCCTAATTCTATAAAAATCTAAATCTATGAAACGTGGAGATGATTTTGAATTTGAAAATTTCAATGAGAGGTTAATATTGAAAAATAATAAGATAACAAATATATTTATTTAGTCTGTGTGAGTTGAATCACTCGCTTATGGCATTATATGTTCACTTCTCAATCCAATTTTTGTTACAAAATCGATTATGAGCTCTACTATAATATTTCAAAAAATACGAATAAGAGATAATGTTTTGTAATCTTTGCTTCTATAAATTATAATCGATAATTTTATTTAGTACATCCTTTCTCAATTTCACAGCTGTTTGTTTTTCTTAGAATGCGCCTTCTAACAGAATTACTTGGGATTTTTTTCAATACGTGCCACGCTAGACATGCGCTTTGGTGAAGTACAAGGCGAAATTCTTGTAATACTGCTGCCCATCACCAATTTGTGAAATTTGAGTACAGCGGGTTTGAATAGATTTGCGGACATTATTAAGTTGCCTAGTTTGTCAGTAACTAGGGTGCACGCCGCGGAGGTTAACATTTGAAGAAAAAGTCCGCAAATAACTTCTTAAATCTTAGTACATTGGTAATTTACAAAATTACATATCATATATTATAAACTTCTCAATTATCATTTTAAATATAAACAGTTTTAAAAAGTAAATAATACCAAATTCTTGGCAGCAGTTGGTAGCGTATTTCCGATATTAATGTCCTCTACGAGCGCTGGTGGCATCACGCTCTACATTTCCATTGGCTAAGGTACAAGTTGCTCTACTTCAATGTGACTTATCAAATTACTTTTCTCAGCTCTTTTAGTGAAAATAAATTATACAATTTAATATTTGTAGAGTTCTGGTAAAAACATTGTTTTAATTTGATTGGTTGAACATTGTCATTTAACCAGTTAAAGTATTACTTTTTAAATTTATTGGTAGTTTAGTAGTAGGCAACTTATGTAATCTAATATATAAATATTAATCTTCGTTTGTTCGTATTTTATGTGCTGCCATATCGTTCATTAGATTACAGTAAAACTTTTTCAACTTATTGCTTGCACTTGCGCGTAGGTTATAGGCATAGTACAATTAACTTACACTAGATGGCGCGCGCACGGTACCAACAATTTATTTGAAAGTACCTATCATTCAATATCAATGATTGTATTATCATTCCTAATTAAACAATATAAATCTTCCAAATTCAAAACCATATTTCCACAATATTTATTCTGCGGCAGCAATGCGCCGGCTACCAGCCAGTGATAACTAAAAATTATTAAATACATTTTGGCGTAAAACTACCAAAGGGTGTTAATCATTTACTGTAAGTCATTTATTAAAAATATTTTGAAAAAAATTGCTGTAAATACAAGCTATACCTCATATATTACTATATTTTGATAAATTATAATATTCCTGCTAAAAAAGTCGTCTTTCAACCCCCATGATATCTGTCAGTCATTACAATTAATAAGTACACAATTGTTGATGTTTTGCTAATGTGTTTGGTATTCTCCATTAGTTGTCAGATTGCACTTAGGAAAACATCTTATTAATAATATTACCTACAGAAGTAAGACGTTTAACATAAAGGGAAAATAGTGTGGAGCAACCTTAACCATAAACCCTGCCGGGAGATAAGATTTACGTCGTTCGCTGGCGGAATACAAGCTAGCGATTACGTAGACTTTAATCTGAAAACGTTAGGGCTTCTTTATAGCTGGATTGATTTATTGGCGACGTATGTATGTGCTGCTTTTGGAAACACAATTGCTTCAATTCATTAAAATAAATTTAACAAATCGAAATATTTTTTTTTTATTGTTAAACGCTATAATAAATTAAACACTGTGAAGTCAAAACTAATCTAAAAATGACCATAGCCTTGATATTAAACAAAACTAATGTTTTTCGAAGTGTGAATGATTGGGGCCAAGTACCCAAAAATGTTAAAATATGTGTTTCCTAACTATTTTTGTTATACTTATTAATAATATTATGTTATTGATGAGAAGTTTTTGGGCGGTATTTATTTCATTTTATAATTGACTTGCTGGTACTCGGCGCGTTGCTGCCGCAGAAAAAAGAAATATCGTTTTAAATTTGGAAGGGTTACATTGTTTTATTAGAAATACATTCATTGAAATTGAATGAATGATTTTCAAATAAATTTGTCGGTACGATACGCCCGCCACCTAATGTAAGTTAATTGTACTATGCCTATAACCTTCGTGCAAGTGCAAGTAATAAGTTGACAAAGTTTTAGCGCAATCTGATAAACGGTATGGTAGCGCATAAAATACGAACAAACATAAATTTTTATTTAATAGATAAAACAAACGTCTTTACAAAAGCTATTTGAAATTAACCACCAATTTACATTATTTTATTCAAACATTTAAATTATATCTACCATAATATAATTTTAAACATTTTAAAACATCCATTAGGAGTTCAAAGAAAAGTCACGTACGGTCAACATGACAATCTTTATTTATTGATTTTCAATTTCGACTCTTAAGCACGATCTGTTGTTAACTTGAACGCGTTGCCTCGTAATGTATTTTTAAATATTTTTCGAATGTTTAAACTTCAGCCTGGGGAGGCTGCCCATGCTTCTTCGAACAAAATCAACAGCACATCAAATACGTCCTTTTCAATTCTATGTCAAAGGATTTGCAATTGTTAGCATAAAGAAATTTCATATTATAAATGTAAATGAAAAAACGTGTTAAAAGTTCATAATTTATTTTTTGCTATTGTACATTTTTAGTTTTATCTAGACGTCGGACTACACCCATCAATCTAATAAAATGATCATTAATCTTAAGTAGGCTAACTGTCCTGCATCTGCGTGACCGTCTTGTCATAACATTAATTTATAATCCAGCACTGCAACATTTATTAAAATATTCCCGTAAAAATTCTAATGCGTCCTACATCTCTCGCATTCCTAAACTATTAAATTCAAATTAAAAAACAAAAATAAAAGAACGATCAGTGAAATAGACGGTAGGTATGCGTGAGTGCGAGTGTGATTCGCTTTGTTTTGCTTTGCACTGCGTGCCAGTGATGTGAGTAATATAATTAAATAAATAAATAATGAACTCAATAAATGATGAATGTTTGTTTCCTAATTTATGTACAAGCAACACCCCTCCCTTTCCTCCATCTACAAGAATGTACTCCATTAAAACTTTTCATAAAGTTGGCCGCCTTAGCCAATCTGTAACATTTTTAACATAAACACCACTTACTAAATTACATAAAGCAAGCGAATTGCTAATAGGAAACCTCTTACGATACATCACAATGATAGGTTCCCTCCGAAAGTTGACAGATGCGTGGATTTGGACGCGCATTTATCGGTTTGTGCAAACATAACCAAATGTCGCGTCGGAGCCAATCCTGTTAAGCTAATTGATAATTATCATTTTTATAGGCTTAGTATTGCGGCGGTGCTTTTTGTGTGTACATATTACGATAAATTAGATTCGTAATTTCACATCCCGCTATTGGCAATTGAAATAAAATGATAGGACGTTTAGTATTTTATCGGATATTTGTTTAGTGATGTGACATAATCCTTATAAATACATAAAAATATTTCACGTCAGTTCATATCACAATAAAATAATTAAATTAGATCATGACAACCTAACTGACTCTAATTGACTCTCTGTTCTACTTATGGTTAGCTGGTAGAGAATGCCATATAACGCCTTTTGTACAATATTTTTAATATAAATAATGAAAATAAAAAAAATCAATGAATATCAATATAAGGGACTGACCTATTTTCGGCAGTGAACTTTAATAGGATGTAACGGTATTTTACGTTTAAAATGCACCATTGTTATGTTTGTTTTTGGTCTACCCGAGTTAGTAGATTTCGCAAGAAATACTAATGTCATAACCATAGATAATACACTATATACCAGGGAGTCATAACTGTCCAAGTCGTGGAAATATTTTGTAGTCATTTAAATGTGCATCGTTATAATTGTAACGAATCTTTTATTTTGTGATTTGGGAACGTGGGAGATCAAATCATGCGAAAATATTTTCATCAATGTGTTTAAGGTGTCAAGGGCCTAGTTTCTCGCTAAATAGCAACCTCAACCTCGGCAAAAATTCTAACAGTCATCTGTTGTCGATCAATTATTTTACATACCGATGATGAAGGAATTGGCACTGCTCTCCACAATAATTCACCTGTCGCTTGGTGTGCATAAAAGGCCTCACTCAAAAATGCAATGAAAATAGTTTTGATGTCATGTAATATTGTATAAATATGTGTAAATGAGTTTCTTTCAGGTTTAAAAGCTATTGATGTTTTACATATAGTTTTTCATTCTTTTTGGTATAGAATAAAGGTGACAAATGACACAGACACAGAGTCTGCCTGATGGTAAGCGGGTGCTGTGGCCCATACACACCTACATCTATCCTCGTTGTCACTCCTGAAGGATAATAGTAAGAGTACCTCTAAACCAGTAAAAATGCTCCCCGATTCTCTATACTAACATAACGAAAAAGAAACATTAAGCTGCTAATTCCCACCTAGTATTCTGTTAAAATCTGAGAGCCCAATAATCTGTGATATTCTGATTAAAAAAAAATGTTTTCTTTAACAGGAGCGCCACACGCACTTTTGGGGAAGACCAGACGTCCTAGAACCGCTTTCACTTCTCAACAGTTATTAGAATTAGAGAAGCAATTCCGCATGAACAAATATCTATCAAGACCCAAGAGATTCGAAGTAGCGACGAGCCTCATGCTGACAGAAACGCAGGTTATAAGAATAAATACCTAATAAATGCATACCAATATATTAGGAATGTTTCACCCTAGATCTGTTTCCATTGAAGGAGCATTATACAACATGTAACAAAAACCCTCTGGTTCCCGTTAAGTACGTTATCAGGATCAGTATTCAAACCTATAGAAATAACTGTTTTTTTTTTTTTAAAACGACCATAATTTTTTTTATATAAAAAAGAAAATTAAAATTTATGTGGTTTTATTACCTCTTACTGACACTAGCCAATGCTAAAGCTAAGTAAAGTGGAGTCTTTGACAATCCTCTTACTCCCCAGACAATGCAGAGGTAATAAAACCATCAAAAATTTGCATACAATTTTTTTTAAATAAAATAAAAAAAAATATTGTTCGAGTTTTTATAAAAAGTTATTTCTATACGTGTGAATAATGATCCTGATAACATACTTAACGGGAACCACAGGGTTTTTGTTACATATTATATAATTAAAGAAAATAATAAAAATAAAATAATTATGACGACTGCAGCTTACCAACTTAACAAACGTTATAAACTGCGCAAAGCTATAGCCACTTACTTTATTCATCAGTAGGTAGTTCAGACGGAGAATCAAGGATTGAACTTACAGAAACATACATTATATATTCAGATTCCAAAAAGACGTTCGTGTTTTTGGGCTAATGTGTGTAGAAGACCCCAAGTAAAAGGTGTTCAGACCACAAGCTACGCGATCGGCTGTAAAAAGAAACGTACCATAATATTTTTTTAATTATTATATATTACAAAGAAATGCTTGAACATATTTTAATGTTTTAAAACTATTTAATACAAATTAGTTGTTGTATAACTCGAAAAATAAAAAAGCCTAATAAACAAATTATCAAGAATACTTTTTGCAACGGTACCATTAATATTTTCTATTTGGCTCTAAAGACAACGAAGACCGAATGTCAAGCTGAGCGATGCCCGGATTTGAGCTTACAAATGTCCCAACAAGATTATGGGGGAGGTAAACGTTACCCATAAAGTTTATTGCGTAGGGCGTTTTATATGGGTTTAAAGATTAATCTCTTCGCACCCACGTTCAGTTTTTGCATTATGATAAATTATGCTGATATGTTGTGTAATATTGCAAGTGGTTTTGTGTATACCAAAAAGCAAATTTTATGTAAATATGTTGCTAGTAACATTACAAATGTCAAACTGTCATAGATATACATTTGAAGATTGTGCAATAAAACATAACATTTCAAATAAAGTCTGCAGAAGCAAGAGGAAAAAATGTAATATCGCGTATATACCTAATTAATTATTAAAGCCTTGCCAGGCACCAGAACTTGAGTCGTAAATCTTAGGAGTAGCCTAGACAGCTGCAGTCTTATTTCTTAGCAATTCCATCAGATACGAGCACCTTTGGTTAAGTGAATGCCACTGTGTAAATGCGTACACTTTTAGCACTATTAACTGCCATGTGCAGTTATTGATCTCCGATATGTTTCGAATGATGTCGCCACTATCACATTCAGCTAAGAGTATATCTTGCACCATTACAGCCTATAAAGTCCGTAGCAGAATATAGGATATAACATAGATTGCCACCATAGGATATTTTCCTTAGTTGCCACAATCGGCAGGTGGATATTGTAACGCATTCATAAGATTATATGGGGTAGCAGTGGATTCTCTTGCGTCGCCATTTAGGAACGGCGGCGGCGTAGCAGAACATCTAGATATGAGATATCAAGAGGATAATAAATATCATAGGTTAATTTTTGTGATTATGTGTAAAAAAATTAATTTTATCGGTCTTTGGTTTTTTGTATTTATAAAGCTTTCCTTCTTTCAGGTAAAAATATGGTTTCAAAATCGAAGAATGAAATGGAAACGCTCAAAAAAGGCCCAACAAGATACAAAAACGAAAGACACTCATATCGCCCATCAAGCTGACGAGAAGAACAAACCAAAAGATTTACCTCAGCCACCATCAGAATCTGAAAAACAACCCCAACAACAAATGGCCGCGGATTTGACATCTGTCAAACCTTCGCCGTTGTTAGATAGGGAGCGAATTATTGCGCTAGAAAGGGAGAGGGCAATGGCTGCGGCAAATTTCAATTCAAATTTAGAAAACAATAGGCGCGGATTGGTTGTCATAAACCAAGAAGGCGGTAGGCCTGGCATGGATATGTTCAGGCCATACGTAGTATGAAAGTAAAATATTTTTTATTTGTTATTTATTATTTCTGAGACCACAGTAAAGTGTTATGGACAAACCTTGCTAAAAGGCTGCAAACCTTCACTGAGGCATTAATACCTAGGGTAAGCGACAATGTTCCAAATAATAGGGTAATAACGTAGCATAATTGTACTCGTACCTACTGTACAAACATAAGAACATAGAAAAAAAGCAAAATTTTAAAGAAAAACGTACCTATGAAAATTATTTAAAGCTAAGCTAATTATAATGAAAAAAGGCTGTAAAATCTATTAATTTTCCTGCGTTATGAGTAACCTAGCCTCTAGCATTAGTTACTTTAAATTAGCCAGTATTGCATAATATTAATATTTAAATTTAAATGCCATTACTTTAAGTTTAAAGAAGCAAAGACGTTTTTCTAGTCAACATTACTTTGTCTATTGTAGCCTTTCCGTTAATGTTTTCATTTAATAATAATAAACACTGAAACCAGATCAGAACTTGAAAATATAAAAACTGTACTTCAATGAAAACTAAACTTTCATTAGAAATAGCTAAATTAAACATATGCATATATTTTATTAATTCACTTTGAAAGCATCTTCAATATTTATACCAGTAGAAACTATTTTTTGCTCTGGATATAAAGTTTAAAGTCACATGTTCACTAGCCAGAAGTCTCACGGTGTGACACCAAATTATTCTAATACGGCCTCGTATTTCCCAAACGGCAGTGTTGTGACGAAGTTCTATAAGAAAGTACATAAGCATACCTAACTCAATTATAAGATGCATTAGATGAAAAGTATTGTATAAGTCACAGCGCTAATTAGTCGGGTAATTTAATTTCTACATTCCAGACCTAAAAAATATTAAACCAAATCACATAAAAAATTAGGAAAAGGGCTGATCTTTATTCGGCCTTTTAGTTTTAGTCTGTAGTTTGCTGGAGTTATCTTGAGCTTTGGTGGAAGTTTCGATTCAAAATTATGTTTAATTCTAAATTAAATTGTATCATTCTAGATATTAAAGTCTCGAAATTCCACCAGATGTTGACACCATCTTGAGGGAAATATGTTATACCATTTGCGGCACTTGAGTAAGACAGAAAACCTTTTAAACGCTCTTGATTTAGTTATATCAAAAGATTCACAAGTTTGAGTCAACCCAAACATTAAATATTATCAAAAGTAAATCAACAGCGTACATACGTCACACTGTTGGACACAGATTTTAATTTCATAGGTATCTCAGAGGTTTTTTTGGGGCAGATGAGTACCTACTGCACCCTGCCCGAATTTGAATGGGCGATCTTCACATAATGCACAATAGCTCGAACATGCAAGTTTACCGTATTTCCCTTTCGTTGAACATGTTGTGGTAACTCAACAGTTAATTTTACTATAAATAGTATCAGTGCTGCCGCCGGAAGTCGAAAGCTGGTTGATGCGTCCTACGAAATATAAGGTGAGAGCCCAGCCCCTGAGATTACTTTGAGAGTTATATGGACACTCATATCGCCGTATTTACTTATACGTGGCAGAGCCATGCTGCAGCTATATTAGTAGTATAGTTGTAGCACGAATGGGTCGGCTCGATCGGGGAAGGACCACGCTCTCACAGAATACCAGCGTAAAATGGCAGCTTGATACTGCTGTGTTTCGTATGGTCAGTGTAGAAAACCGGAGCCTCATTTTACTAGAAAAGAGGCAATCCATCTTAGTCATCACGTATGACGACGCATCTGCATTTTGATTCTTTATTGAGGATAAATGTAGATGTCTATGTGTCACAGCAACCACTTACCATCAGGTGAACTGTGTGCTCGTTTGTCACACTGTCCTATAAAAAAAAATGTGTGTCCAAATAGGTATCGTGATATTGTACAGTACATTATTAGACCATCTTATACTTTACTTACAAATAAAGTAATTAATTTAATTAACGGACTTGTCTATAAAATGTAAAAATTGTAACTTAACAAACTAAAAGAGACATCTTTGACATCAGTATTATTTTTAGAATATGTTATAAATATTGGTTAATAATTTCCCACCTTTTAAAATCATAACATTTATTTGGATAGAATTTAAGTGTTGAAAAAAAAATGATAACGAGCTTTTTTACGCACTAAGTTTTATTTTAGACCTTACAAACATTTTCACGTTATTTAAGAGAAATAAAATGTATATTTTAACCTAAAATATAGAAATGTAGAATTGTAAATATGTAAAGTTAACGTTATTTATTACATTTTAAACAAATAATCTCGAAAAATTGTAATGAGCTGTATTATAATCCTAATACGTTAATGAGGTATTTTATATTAACATTTCAAATAAAACTGTGTGAAGTTGTACGTCTGTGAAGTCCATTAATGTATTTATCATTTATGAAGATTTGCTTATGTTTTCTTTTTTCAATACTTGTTATATTATATACGCACTAAACGTTAATATAAGTAAATTTAAAATGAACGCTCAACCTTTAAAATCAGCATTCTACGTTATTAGTCGATGTTCAATGATTAATGTAAAAAAAAACAAATATTTATAAACCAACAACAAGTTCATTCAATATCTGTACATTCCATATTATCTATTTTTTAAGTTGAATTAAATTTAAGAAGTATTTTCTGAGAAATGTATATACCTAGTAACCATATAAACTACGCCTCAACGCCATTAAGCATTTAATTTAATCTTAATTCAATATATTAAATCTCTAGATCTCCTAGAAGTAAATATACTTGCCAGCATTTCAATGTGTAATTTATTTGAATATAAATATGATTGTATATTTAAAAAAAAAACAAAAACAGTACACTTGTAGAATACATAGATCTATGTATTTTACAAAAAATAACTATGTGTATACTATTTTGTATCAAATAAATGTGAAGTGTTTGTATTATATAATTTTACTTCACGTAATTGTAGTAAATAACTAATTATATGTGCAAATTTATGAAAAATATAGTTGCTATGTTGAAAATAAACGAATTTTATTCAATAATTACCTCCATACTATAATATATTATTTCCAAATTTATTTATTGCCTTGATGAAACTAAAAAATAATTCCTCGGTTCCTTCAATTTCTAAGAAACAATTCAGATTCGATACTAGAAAACACCACTGAAACTGCTAGTCGATAATGTAATTGCTAAATTACCACGTACTCTGCCACCTAAATATCGTAAGGAAATTTAGTTAGGTCGTGCGGTAGAACCTCGTCTACGTGTTTTCTGAAATATAACGAAGCCGGCACTGAGAAAGAACGCAGTAGTCTATTATATCTTATATTGCCGTATAGTTAGTGGCGTAAAAGAATCCACTACTACATGTCATTCCATCCCGTGGGTGTCGTAAAAGGCAACAAAGCAAAACGAAATAGATGATTGGCAGTAGGTTCTCCCGATAATAACTTGAAATAATAAAGAAACTGCGGTGCGGTGGGGAATTTTATTGACCGCTTTTTTCTTTTATAAAATTGAAATGACAATCGGAACTCACAGTCCATTTTGTGGTAATTAGCTACTGTAGCCTACAACCGGCGACCCATTTTAAACAACGAAAGGCTACAGACGTGTCATCATCTCCGAGGACCAAGATGGAATATCTCACGGCCTGCAATTATACTGGCTCTCTGTACCCTTCAGATCGGAACTGCTGCTTGAGGAAGAGTCCCGGAGTCTTAGACAGAAATATTGTATGTATTGGTAAGTCAAACGCCATTCGCCCGGTCTTATCTTACGACCACACCTGGTCTTTTTTTACTAATACTTAGACTTAGACTTTTGTCAGTGTTTGACTACTGTCCCACCTGATGATAATTGTCGCGTGCGTTTTTTCTGATATGTGTTTTTTGGTAATTATTTTAGAATGCATTTTGCAAAAGAACCAGATAAATAAATTCGATATTTTTAAGTATAATTGCCGTTTCTATTAAAGAAGTCTGAATGATTTTTACTTGCTGTTTTGTTACTATTAATACAGAAATTTAAGAGAATCCAACACGCCTGCAAAACATTGTTACTATGGAAAATATTTCCTTACTAGCTGGACCCCGCGACTTCGCTCGCGTGGAATTTTTTACTATTAGATTTTATGGGTTTTAATATTTTTGCTCGGAACCCTAATTATTTTTCTAAAATAAAAGTAGCCTAAGTTACTCCTTATAACATAAGCTATCTGTCAGAGGAAATCCCGTCAAAATCGGTCCAGCTATTTCGGATATTAGCCGGAACAAACAGACACACAAAAAATTTTAGTATTGCGTTTTGGTTATAAGTACCGTATATACTTTTATATGTATTTAATAAAAAGCTGTTATTTTGACATTACAAACGGACACTTCAATTTTATTTATTTGTATAGGTGAGGCAATCTATGGAGGCCTATGTTCTGTGTGTATATTATGTTATGTGACTTGTGATAGTCTTGAATTGAATAATGCTACTTCACATTAATAATGTTTGAGAGTGTGTTCCTTTCTTTTATGAACTTCTTTTCTTCACTACCAGCCCGCTGAAATTTAATGCTACTACTTGGTTCCCCCTGGGATGCCGCAGGATTTGCCTTAGTCGTCACACCGGCAGGAAGAATAACGATCACAGTAAAGACGTCTCGCAACTTTGACGCTGCTAGCGTATTCGCTGTCTCTACTATAACATACTCTACCTTGCTAATGTGATGATAGAACGTAGCTTTACCAAAAGGCGGGGAAAGTTTGGAGTGAACTGCGGAAGATGTTATGACGACAGATATCTTTACGTATTAAACTAAATTTAAAAGCCATGCTATAGCCACAAGTGTATAACAATACCCTCTAGATCGAATTTCAGTCACGGCGGCCAGTCTCAACTATAGCGCACGAGTGTGTGTGCAAGCATAGGTACAACTCTCATAACCAATGGGACAGATATTCGCATGACCATGACCAGAACCAACGACTTTACGTTCCTACTTTTCGCGACAACGCCCAACATCCTGACTTTACTACTAAGTATT